TTGCTCATCCCTTCTTGTGTGGTAGCTTTACAGTTACTTCCTCTGGTCTCTAGTCTAGAACCAAGTCTTATTTTGGCAATTCAGGGCTCCTGCAATGTTGATATTGGTTGATATAGAGTTACTTGTCTCAATATTTGCAAGATTTGCTTCCTTCTGACTTCCTTGCCAGGCAGCTTTATGCTATGTCCAGGCAGCAGCTGGCAGCAGCTCTTTTTGGCCTCCTTTCAAGAGTTGGGAGTTTCACTGTATTACTGATTTCAAGTGTTGAGACTTGTAACGATCTCTTGCCTTACATGGACCATTTTGAGTCTTTATAGTTCTCACCTGCCTCTGCCAGCTTTTGCATCTTGAGCATAGTGGTATCTCTTCTTTAGTCTGATACACTGCTTTGAGCCTAGCTAAAATTTTCTATTTTCACTTTATTGTTAGCATCACACTCCCCCTCCCCCGCCCCCCGCCAATGTTTCCAATTATCTAGTCTGCTGTATTTTCAGAAACATAAATCCTTATCACTTCTATTTGAACTAGTCTCAAATCTTTATCTAACTCTGATTGCTGATTTGATCTTTACTAGTACATGTTCAGTTCCTTTGTGGCCATATATATTGGTATGATGTGCCTTCCTCAGAAATGCCACATTATCTAAAATAAATCTACTATTTTACTTTAAAATTCAGATTTAAAAAATCATTTGGTTAATCCCCGCATAGTCTGGAGCTTAGAGAACAGTGTCATCCTATTTGCTTCATGGTTAGGTATCTCTCTTTCTACCCTGAAATTTTTGAAGCTCATTAGTGTCGTTTTGCAAAGTTAGAGCAGCTATAAAAGAGCATATTTTGCTTTATTAGGAGACTGAGAAGCTGGTTGTGTCATTGACTGAATTGGGATGTAAAGGACAGAGGATTTTTTTTTTTCCAGGGAATGGGGTTAAGGGAAAAGGAACAGTCAGTTGAAGAGTCCATGAGTTGTGTTTTAAACTTGTTGAATTTGAGGTGCTAGCATTAAAAAAATTCTCATAGTTACCTCATTTAATTTCCAAAGTTCTATAATAATCTATCAATTGTTGGTATCTTTGCTTTTCATTTCTGTCACATAACCAGCAGATTCTTTATCCTGAATGAAGTACTTCATCTATTAGTTTCCTACTTAAAAGTTTTATTTGCTCACCAATATTTAGAATAAAGCTTACATTTCTTGGAATGATATTCATGGTGGAGACCATTTGCTCTAGCTTCTTTTTATAGCTTAGTATTTCATTGCTCTCTATATACTTGCTTATTCTTTTTTTAATAAGACACGTGCTTTCTTCCCTCCTACTTTTCTTTGTTCAAACCCCTGTCCCCGCCCCTTGTTTTTCCTTCAGGGCACAGTCTTTTTAAACCTCTTGTGCTTTGAAATGTTTTTCTGACTGCTCAAGCTCATTTCTTTCTCAGAATATGCAGTATTTAGTACTGTATTGTTTAGGTGGCCTTTTTTCAGGGATGGCAATAGAGAAATGTTAAAATTATGCCATTTAATGCAATTTTAAACTGTTTACATGAATCTCTTTATGCTTTAGTTTCCTCATATTTAAAGGGGGCTACCCTTGCACAGGGAATAGTGTTATTAAGAGATATGAATATAATGTGATTGTTAGCAGTAGGTGACATGTTGGAAGTGCCATAAATAAAAAGTTTTTTTCCTTTTGTCTCTGTTTCTTCCCTCCTTGTCTTTCTTCCTCTGTTCCTTTCTCCTTGCTTTCCTGTTTTTCTTTCAAGTTTAGTGGTTACAGAAAAGGCTTTTTGGTCATCCCAGTTCTCCCATTTCCTGTCTTTTTGGCCTTGGAACCTCTTAAGCCCTAATTTCCTTATCCTTAAAATACTTGAGGCCTGGCACAGATAAGTGTTCAACAATGTCACTGTTGTTTCTTCGTGACATATATTATTGTTGACTAGCTTAAATTGCTCTTAATCTTTTTATGCATGTAGTATTTCTCAAGTGGGTATGTGAAGTACATGGATAAGGGTACCACCTATTTATACCACTTATTTTATTTCAAACTGCCTAACACATACTTTTCTTTGATCAGGTATTCCTTGTTGAGAGAAGTTATATATAAGAAAACGAATTATAGTTTTATTAGTCCATTCAAGCACTCAATTCTCTCTAGTGAATCATGCTAAAAATTAGATGACAGAATGTGGCTTAGGCCAGAGTACATACTTTTGTACTTTTGCCCTTAATTTCAGCCTATTTCACCTTCCAAATCTAAGAGTGGATCTAACTACTTCAATCTAGTTGTTTAAAAAGAGGGAAGGAAGAGAAGTTGGCAATATGATGTACACCTGCTGATACGAAGGAAAGGGATGTCATAGGCATAATAAAGAACAAATTTTCCCTAACATGTTGCTGTTAACTGGCATAGTTTGATTTTTCTCTGCCTGGGGCGGTGGCTGTGTGTGTGCAAAGAAGCCAGAGGAGAGATGGCTAATGATTGCATCATCTGGGGAAAATGGCTCTGGTCCTGTTACCAAGTAGCATAGATCTCAGAGATAGAAAGGCCCCACCACACAGGTGTTTACAGTTATTACAGCGATCTTTTTCGTTATTAAAGTATAGCCTAATGAATGTTCAGTTTTGGCCTGTCAGGTTAGCTGGTCCTCCTTTTGAGAGGTTCAAGTAAAAAAATTCAAGAAAGTGTCAGCTCTCTTCTTCCCCAGCCTATTATAACCCTTATCCTCACTCTTGATTGGAGAGAAGTGGAAGCAGCCCCGTGGGCTAAAGTTGATGTGTGAAGAAATTGGGGGGCGTGCACATTCCTCCTTAAGTGTACTGGGCATTTTTTTACTGACTAAAGTTTATTGATATTACTGTGAGGGTAGAGGTGAGGCAGAGATGCCCATTTTTATCATGAAAACAAGTGTATGTGTTTTCCCTGGCCCTCTCTGTGTTCTCCAAGTGTATACTTCTGCTTTGGTGACTTTATTTGGCTCTGACTCTCTAAAATACAGTGTTACTAAACATTCTTTATTGTATCTGATAATTGGCACTGTACTTGCTACTGGAGAGGATAGAGGTGAATGTCCCTAAGAGCTTTGTAGCAGTTCATATCCTACGTTCTCACACTCTGTTTCAGAAGCTTTTGGTGACCAGAGCTGCCAGGTGAGCCTTGGTCTTTTTCTGATTGCCATCTTGATGCCACAAGATGGAAGAACATAAAACATATCACTTCTTAGTTCTACCTTTTAGTTTCTCCTTCAGCTCTTTCCTGCATTTTAACCTCTGTCTGCTTTTAAACAAGGACTTGGAATGATTCATTCACCTGTTTTAAGTTTTGTCCTTAGTCTTACTCATAAAATTGTGAATCTAGGAGTCGATGGTTTTCAAGTTTTAAGTGACCAGACCTATGAGGGCTAAGGTGAAAAATATGGTGGTACATGATCCCATGATCTGTCAGTATGAAAGTAATGGATCTGTTTACATACAGTGTTTGCCACATTTTCCCTCACTTAGGAACTTTTGTAAGGAAATGACATTCTTGCTTGTTTCATGAGGAGCAAAGGGCAGTGTTTTCAGAAATAGCTATGTGGTCCCCAAGAGAAAACATTCTTTTGCCATGAAATATACTTACCAGACATTTTGGAAAAATTGCAACCTAAATAAGAAAGATATAACTGTAATGTGTTTGGGGTTAAAAATTATCTCAAAACATTTTAGCTAGTATATTTGAGAACAGAGTTTCTTTTATTAGAATTAGAGACTTTCAATGAAGTAAAATGTGTAATAGTCCAAAATGATGCATACTGGTTAAAAGCAGATGAGCTCAAACTAAAGATGGAAGTAATTCCAGTTTTAATAGTAAGTATTATAATTCTCATTTTGCTTTATTTTTTAATTTAATTTAGTTGGGTCAGGATTAAATGGAAGCTGACTTGTAATTGATACAATTAAAATGTAATTGAAATGAAAAAAGTTCAGATTATCAAAAGAGTTATTTTCTAATTATACTGTGCATATAACCATGATTTTCTAACCATGGTTAAGAAATGTTTTCACATTTTGTAATGTTTGTTTCATAGTATATATTATTATGAGTACAATTATTAATGTTCATTTTTAAAGCACACTAAAATTTCAGGTTTATTATAAATTTTGTTTAAACAAATAAGGCTATTTAGTTTTTCTTTTGAATAATAAAAATGTGCAGTTTGTAGGGAAGCCTAATTTACTTTTTTTTAAACTATTTGAAACTTTAACTGGTGTACTTTACCCTTTTTTCCTGTTAATCATTTTTCAAAAATAAAAATAACTTGTTCTTTCTTTTGCTTTAAAATGTTTGTCATCTTCTGCATGCCAGATTTATTGGACTGCAGTAGTTTTAGTGCATTTTGGCTGGAATGTTTACTATGACATCACTATAATCTATATACAGTATGTGATTTCAGATGGTTTTAGTGTTAAATATTTTCATAATTATGCTAGTTTTGGCAGTTCACTTGGAACTTTTTCACATCTCTTTAATGAACATGTTTTACTTCTGGGCTTTTGAGACAACCATATGTTTCAAAAATTAATAGTCTGCTTTTAATGTTAACATTGTGCAGAAGTGTGTGACTGCAGACACTTTTAAGGATGTAAGTTGAACTAAAAGTAATTACAGTAAAGTTTTATTCACAGTAGTAGTCTTTTAGTATTTAGAGAGTATAACATCTCCCCAAATAACAGAAGATTTCATTGTAAAGATTGAATAGTGAAGTTGTTTTGCCTTAACTTAAAATGAATGTAAGTCCATGTGAAATTTTCACTGTTTATGATAGCAAATCTTTTACTTTTTTGATTGTATTGAAGTTTCTAACAAATTTTTTCTTTTGCTAATATATCACTAGTATTTGATGCCATAATATTTTGTAAAAGATTCATCTTTTATTATTGTTTCATTCTTAGTGTGGTATTGAATAAAAATTTTTGTTTTCCAAAGGGCTTACTGTTCTTATTTGCCTCTTTCTTTAAAATGAATATAGGATGACCATGAAAGCTGTGGTTCTAATTCTACCAACCGTAGTACTACTGAGAACACAAAATCATCAGTAAAACCTCGAAGAATTCAGCAGGCTGCTCCCACAGATCCTGATTTACCACCAGGTAATTTCTAATGGGATTGATGAAGCCATATATCAGTTGTTAAATCGTCATAGCCCTTTGTGTAATGTACACTTTCAGTATTCTTTAGTGCCATAAAATATTTACACTGTATGTGCATATGCATTTGCTGCATGAATTCAGAACAGATTGAGTCCAGAGCCCTCACAGGTGTCTTTCATTCAGATTTTGATCTGTTTTGCAGCAGGTTGTTCCTAAAATTTCTCTCTCATATCCTCTCCAAGCAAAACCTTGCCTCTGATTTCCCACTCATAGTCTCTTTGTTCCCCTTGCTTCTTGATAAACAGGAAAGATACTAGATTGTTCTCAGTTTCTGGAAACTATCAAATTCACAGCAGAATCACATAATTTTGTAACTGGAAGAGACCATCTTTTTCTTGAAATTTTTATTTTCCTGGAACAGTAGTGACATACATAAAAGTTCCTTGATAAATATTTAATGGGTAAAAAATCAGTGATCATTACATGTTAGCTTTGTGGCTAAAGCTCATTGCTGCATTTTTACAGTTAGTAGCTGTTTATCAGTCACTTCTCTTCTGATTTTATTTATCAGCCATTTCTTTTTTTCTGAGGTGAAGGTGACATTGCTATACGTTTATTTTCTGCACCAAAGGTTTGTAGGCTTTCTGCTGGTTTTAATCTGTTTATTTTTTGATAATCTTCTGGCACTATTTGCTTTACCTTCAAGATGCTGGAGTTAGGTACACCATTTTATAGCCCTCCTCCCTCAAATAATTTGTTGAGCAATTACTGGGAGACAGAACAGTTAAACTTAATCTTGCTGAAGGAAAAAAAAAGGGATACTTTGAGAATCCGGTTGGATAATGGTAAATCGTTTTATTTAAAGGTTAATTCATATGGTTATTTGAGGACTCATTTCTGGTAACCTTATCCTGCCCAGAAACCATATTAATGTTCTTTGATTATAGAGATGAATTCTTGCACTTAACATTTTCTAGGGCAAAGTTATTTCTTTCAGAATCTGTGGTTATAGTTTTTGAGTTTGAACATTTACATAGATCCAGAGGTGCTTATTAAGAACAGTTTTGGTGTTGCCAATAGTTGTTTGTTCTATACCCTTGAAGGATTGGTGACTATAATAGAAAAAGAATATGAGTCAATATCTAATATTTTCTTTGCAATTTCTATGCTTAATATCTAGAGTAGTCTTTTTCAGATTATGTATCCTGACCAGATAGTGCATTATGAAAGTAATATAGGAGGTCATGGCAGGAATTTAAAAAATATGTGGTGTAAAATAGAAAACCTGATAGCATATGGCATGTAGTAAAGGTTGGTAATATTTCAAGAAACTTTTGCATATGTGTATGCCTATGCTGGGTAATAATGTATTATTTCTTACTGGGAGAAGAGTCAAAAGAGTTTGAATATAACCTATTTGAAATACAAACATTTTCTTTCAGTTAATGATGTAGGCCAGGACCTTCAATTACTGCTAATAACTGTTTTGAATTTTGGGCTTAGCATATCTTTTAAGATATGACAATTCTTATTTAGAGACAGAATTTAAGGTTGGTTCATTCACTCATTCATTCTTTCCTCAATATTCTCTGTACATTATCTCTCTGTAAAAGGAGACTACTTCTAAGCTAGATACCTTGATGATTCAGTTCTGTGCTCTCTGAAGTGTATTTATAGCCTTTGGCTTTTCTCTAAAATGGCTTCAAAGTAGGTTATGCTTCAAACTATTATTTTTTAAATAACCTTTAAGATATCTAGTGTTTATATTTCATTTATTACAGAAAAGATGATAATTGGAGAGCCTTTATTTTGTTCTTTTAGATTGAATTTAAAAATATTTTATGGTGGAGACAGGCTGTTCCATTCTCTAAATCTTTATTGTTATGTAAATGAGAGTATGCTAGGGTATCTAATTGAAGGCTATCTTTGTTGTCAAAGAATTAATTGCTTAGTATATAGGAGTATATTTGTAAACTACAGTGCAAAGTGAAAGCAAAGAGAAACACTAAGAAACACTTAAAAAGGAGTGATTATGTGCAGGTGTGTGTGGCTTCCAAAACACATAGGTAAAACAGAGAGGCAAGAAAAATTGAAAATAAAAGGATGAGAAATGGTATAACAAACATGTACTATCCAAAAATAAATCTGTATTTGTAGCATAAAACTCAGGCAAAATTAAAACTAAGGCAGAAGCATTAATGGACATACGTAATAGAGATACTTTATTATAAAAAAAGGTACTATTCTCCTCCCCTCCAAAAATGACTATGTACCTGACAACTTAACTTTGAAATGCACTAGATCGAGCCAACAAAAAACCCCAAAACTAGATCTTTGAATATCATTATTAACATTATTTTAATATTGTTTTAGTAGACACATATAAAACTGCACTCAGCAGGTAGACAGTATACATTCTTTTGATGCACATATTGGATATCTACAGACATAGAAAAAGACGTGGTCAAAAAGGAAGTCAACAAATTTCAAAGACTAACTATCATACTGACCATCCTATATGATCACAATACAATTAAAATGGAGTGTAATTAATGATATGTTTGAATTTACCCATACTATTTTTATTATTTGTTTTATCTTTGTAAACTCTGGTTTTCATTCTGTTTCCTCTCTCATGTGTACTGTTTACTTTCGACAGTCTTGAAATAGCTGCTCCATACACGCTTTCCAGGTTTTATGGCTTTATTCACTGGGAAAGATAGAGTAGAATGTGATTATCTTATCCAGAACTAGAGCCTATTAACATTTTGATTTCCAACCTTTTAGAGACTGCATGTGTGTGTGTACACGCGCACATGTGCACACATACATTTTCTTTTATAACTTGCATTTTTAGGTTAATGTTACGAACATGTTTCTAGAACATTAATATTTTTTATATTGTTATTTTAATCATTAGCATGTATTCCATTGTATAGCTCTTCCATAATTTATTTTTAATTTTTTGCTTTTTTCCCCTAGCTTTATTGAAATATAATAGACAATTAGTTGCTCATATTTACATCATACAATTCCATGAGTTTTTTTCAATTATAGTTGGTATACAATAATATATTAGTTTCAGTTGTACAGCATAATGATTAGAGCCCAAGTGATCACCCCACTAAGTCTAGTTCTCCTCTTCCCCCTTGCATTTGTATTACAACATTTTGACTATTTTCCTTATGCTACACTTTATATCTCCAGGATTATTTTGTAATTATTTGTATTTCTTAATCCCATTGCCCTTTTTCACTGTTCTCCTCAATCCTTCTCCCCAACCTCCCTCTAGTAGCCCTCAAAGTATTCTCTGTATTTATGAGTTTGTTTCTGTTTTTGTTGTTATTGTTATTTATTTTGTTCTTTAGATTCCACGTGTACGTGAAATCACGCAATACTTATCTTTCTCTATCTGACTTATTTCATTCAGTGCAATACCTTCTAGGTCCATCAAGGCAATATCTTTTTCCATCCACTTCCTTTTAGTCTGTGTGTGTCTTTTAATCTGAAGTGAATCTTTTGTAGGCAGCATATTTAGAGGTCTCGTTTTTTATTCATTCAGCTACCCAATTCTTTGGTTGGAGCACTTAATTCTTTTCCATTTGGGATACTCGTTGATAGATATGTAGTTATGTTATTACCATTTTTATTCATCATTTTGATACATGTTTTTTCTTCTTAAAGAAGTCTCTTCAACATTTCCTGTAATAGTGGCTTGGTAGTGATAATTCCTTTAGCTTATTTTTGTCTGGGTGGCTCTTAATCCGTCTTTCAACTCTAAATGATAGCTTTGCGGGATAAAGTATTCTTGGTTGTAGATCCTGGGTTTTCATCACGTTGAATATTTTGTGCCAAGCCCTCTATCCTACATGGTTTCTTTTGAGAAATCAGCTGCCAGTCTTAAGAGTGCTCCCTTGTAGGTAACTAACTGCTTTTCTCTTGTTACTTTTAAGATTCCCTCTTTGTATTTAACCTTTGGCATTTTAATTGTAATGTGTCTTGGTATGGGCCTCTTTGAATTCCTGGTTTTTGGGATTCTCTGAGCTTCCTGGGGTTGTATGTCTATTTCCTTCACCAGATGAGGGAAGTTTTCCATCATTATTTCTTCAAATAGCTTTTCAACTTCTTGTTCTCCCCCTCCTCTTTCAGGTACCCCTATTACATGGATGTTTTTACAGTAAATTGCGCCCCAAAGACTCCTTAAATTACTATTATAGGCTTGGCTTCTTTTTTCTTGCCATTCTGATTGAGTGTCCTTGGCTTCCCCAACCTCTATATTGGTGGTTCAATCCTCTTCTTCATCCACTCTGTTAATTCCCTCTGATATATTCTTCATCTCAGATAATTTTTTCTTCATTTCTGCCTGGTTCTTTTTTTAAATTTCCGTTTCCTATTTTATGATTTTTATCTTTTTGTTAAAGTTCTCACTGAGTTCAACTACACTTCTCATAAGTTAATTGAGCATTTTATAACTAGTATTTTGAACTCTGTATCTGTTAGATTGCTTGACTCCATTATTTCTGGATCTCTGTTCTTTTCTCTCATGTGGTTTCTGCTTCATTGTCCGCCCATTTTGTCTGCTTTTCTGTGTCTGCTTCTATGTATTAAGCAAAGCTCCTAAGTCTTTGGTCTTATTAGTGTGGCTTTGTGTAGTAGATGTCTAGCGGCATAATCCCAAGAGGGGTTCAGCTGCAGGCCAGGTTTATCCCCAGCCTGTGTCCCTTAGGGGTCACCTGTTAAGATTCATTAGGCAATCCACAGATGCTGTGCTTACAGCTGCCTCAAGAAACCATGCCAGAAACTGAGGCCAGTTGCTCAGCTAGGGGCACTGGACTCGCCAGGGACACACCTGCATTTGGCTTGGATGGGTTTGCAAGTTGGTGGAGGCGGAGTTTCAGGGAATCCTCTGGATGGAGCGACCTCTGTTATCCAGTTTGATGACATCTCAGCTGTGGCTGCCCTGCGTCAGCACACTGGGAGTGGGGAGGGCTCAACAGAGGAACAATGGATACTAACAGCACTTCTTTCTGAGAGAAAGCCTTGCCTCCGGCCCTCACTCTGACGACTCACCACCCCGCTGTAAGTCTCTGGTACAGCCCGATCAGCCGACCTGGTGTTTGTGCTTACAATGAGTGAGTCCGTAACTATGAAAGCCTGGTCGTGGGCACGACCTTTTTAAGAGACGTCTGCAGCTGTCAGCTGCCACTGTTGCAGCCTCTGTTGTACTCAGCCACTCGGGACCTGGCAGCCTTGCTTCTTCGCCCCCTCCTACCTTATACCATTGTAGAGTGATTTCTTATTTCTCTCCCTAGTTGTAGGGCTTCTGTTCATCTAGACCCCTGGTGATTCTGCTTGCTATTTACTCTGTGTTTTTGTCACAACTCTGATTTGGTCCCAAGAGAGGATGAACAAAGCTACTATCATCTACACCATTTTGCCTGGTCTCTCCTCTTCCGTAGTTTATTTAACCAGTACTTTTTGTTAGATATTTAGGTTATTTTTCATTTTCAGTTTTGTAAAATGCCTTAACAAACATACTAGTAAGTAAATCTTTGCGCACACCTCTGTTTATTAAGAGAAATTCTTACCAATTTATTGAATCAAAGTTTATGAGGAATTTTAAAGCTTTGGGGTGTATGGCCAAATTATCCTGTGAAAAGTTTGTGGATAGTACTTTCGTCTAAGCACAATTTCGGTCCCGTGCTGTTTTTATTATTAAAAAATATTTATTTGAAACTTTATAGATGAAAAATGCTGTTATGTATTTTATTGCTAATTGAGATTACTATTGTTCACCATTTTGTTCTCTTCATCATTTTGTTATATAGGAAAGCTAGTTTTATATTTTGTTAGCTGATCAGTATTCAATATTTTTCAGTTGCATCTTTTGGATTTTCTGTATAAATATATAGTCATCTTCATGTAATGATAATTTTGTGTCCTTGTCAATACTTATACTTATTTCTCTTTTTAAACCTTATTTAGTTGTTCAGAACTTCTGTGATCACCTTAAATAGTAATACTGGTAGTGAGTATCCTCAACTCAGAGCTATTTTCTTTAGCTCTTACAGTAACTGCCCTACGTTATCTTCTAGTTACCAAATCTGTTGGATGCTTTTTAAATTCATGTTATTGAACTATAGCATTGACAATAAAGAATCCTATTCTTTCCTTAGCCTTTTAAAAAAAATATTAGTTTGAAATAATTTCGACCTTCCAAAAAGGCAGGAACATTAGAAATAGCTTTCTTTCCCTTTAGCCAATTAAGCATAAATTGCCTGCCTATATGATTCTGCATAACCCCCAAATAAATTTTACACCGAAAACTTGACTAAGATGTTTTTAGGTAATGTAAGTCATCAATCATGATATTTTTGACTTGAGCAGCTTCACTTCCCAGTGACCACATTAGGATAAACTAATTGCAGATGTTATTTCTTTGTAATCAAAATTATTTGAACATATCACTCAATTTAAGAATATCAGAGAAATAAATACGATATAATTTTTGACTTTTAGGATTTCATAGTTTAACAGACAAAGTAAGTATACATAAACATATACAAATGGCAATTGTAACGTAAGTCCAGGAAAAATGGTAGAGACAGCCTCCTTAATGTAGATGTGTTGGGTCGGGGCATTGGAGAAGAGGATATAGGAGAGGGAACATTTATTCTGGGCCTGTGCAAGAAGGGAGAATAGACAGGGTATTCCAAACAGAAGGAAGAACATGAGCAAAGTCAGTCAAGATTCATAGTGTTTTGTCTGGCCCTGTGGGCATATGTATGTGTGTTTGGAAGAATGGGGCTTTTGCGTGGGGAGAGAGGTAGGTAATGATAGGAATTTCTGGAAAGGTTGACTAATAACAGACTAAAAGAGCTACTTAGTATGACGTCTTGTAGGTTCTTATCCCGTGTGACTTCGCATTTTCACATGCTCGTGGAATAGATCTGGATGACTGTTAGGTTAGTCATTTGAACAAATATACTTCCAGGGAGTCACTAAATATGGAGTGATGAGAGCTGTTAGATCTGCTGTTTGACACTCTGTAGCTCACTTAGAACTAAATTGTTATGAGGGATTAAAGAGATAGTGTATCATTTATTCCCTTGGTGAGTCACTGTTACTTATTTTGGCATTGCATTTTTAATAAGAAACAGCCTTCTCAAGTAGTTCTTTTCAATATTTGATTCTTTTATTTTGGTGAAATGAATTCGCTTATTCATTTCAATTTGTATATTTTATAATGAAAAACTGAGGAAGAATATTAAAAAATAGATGAAAAATCCATTAGTAGTATTCTGTCAGTTAAAATACATTTACAGTATGTTTCTATTACTTTGCATTATACTTTTCTACAGTTCTATCTTTGAGAGTTTTTTTTAAGATAATTAATACTTAAGTGGTTTTTATGAATTCCTATTGATGACAAGATTTTTCAAAAATAGGAAAACCAGTATTAGTCATGCTTGAGTTCTTAGTAACAGGATTTTTATTTTTGTTTTTTAACATCTGTGTTGAGTAGAAATAGCATGGAGAAATGTACATCCTAAGGTTAAAAATTTTGGTCTTTAAAATTTATTTTGGGAGCTTAATTTGTTAAGCATCATTTTAGCATCTCTCTTCAAAGAGTATTTATTATCTTAAATTCATTGATATTTTGTATGTTAATTTTATAGCATATGATAATTAGTGCTCTAAAAGCTGTTAATAGTTTCCATATACCAGAAAAACTTAGTCATTTTACATTTCTTTCATCACTGGGTATGAATGAAAAAACTGGCTTTTGAAAACATGTTATGGTTGAATAGATTTAAATAACTTTTTTCCCAGGAAGCTTTAGGTATAGATATTAACAGTGTCAATTGCTGAAAGAAATTGATAGTTTTGTCCAGTTAAGTTCTGTTTTAAACTATACAAACAGATGGTTATTTCATAGAATAGCTAGTATTTTAATTACCTTTTAAATAGATTTTAGAGTGGAAAATGCATTTGAGTAAAGTGAGGTTTTTAATTTTTTTCTTCTATGTCTTAAATGCTATTTAAGTTTAATTTAATTTACATTTTCAATTAAATTTCCTCAGTAATGTATCTGTATACTTTTATTGTGCGAGAAACTTCTGAGAAAAATTTCTGAGATTATGGAGTATCCCATAATAGCATGAAATTAAAAGAAAATTTTTAGACATTCCAGGCAAGCTGAGAAAAAGAATGTTCACTAATTCCTTTTGTTGTTTTGAATTAAAAAACCCAATTTCTGATTCTCTCTCTTATTTCTCTGTCTTCTCATCCTTGGATCCATTCTCTTCCTTCAATACTTTTCTTTTTTCTATTTTCTTTGTTCTTTTTTTCCCTCTTTTTTTTTTTTAACTGTCCACACTTTCTTCCTCATATTATCTTCCCTACCCTGTTTCAATATTGTAAGTGGAAATAGTTGAGTCTGCTATGAAAGTAATGTTTCTCCTATCTTTCTTCAGGTCTAGGTTTTGAATATTTTTATGGCTATTTAAAATAGGAAGGGGAGATGATAGCTGATTCAAAGAGAAGCTTAAAGAAGCTATCCTTCTATGGTACTGTATAATCAGCATATAATAATCAGCATATAATAAGTTTCATTTGGGAAAATGTCTAATAAAGTAGGCAGAGAGCAAAGTACTTGTAGGATAATTATTGAATGGGATCTAGTATTATGTTATTTAAAAAGTTTTTGATAAATATGATTTTTTCTTAGTATATGAATACTTTAGTATGTAGAACTTGGTAATGGCTTTTGTTGCGCTGAGTCTGCTACTTATTAGCTGTGTTTCTTTAGCAAGCCTATCTGAATGTTAGTTTCCTGTTTGCGAAATAGGCTAAATATATATCTTTCACTTATATTAAGCTCAGTAATATTTTAAGAAATAATTATTTCTTGACAGACTTGTGGCTAATTGAATCCTTTTTCTATTTTGTAGGTTACGTGCAGAGTCTGATTAGACGAGTTGTAAATAATGTAAACATTGTTATAAATAATCTCATACTAAAATATGTTGAAGATGATATTGTTCTTTCAGTCAATATCACTTCTGCAGAATGCTATACAGTAGGTGAATTATGGGATCGTGCATTCATGGATATTTCTGGTGAGTAAATGTCAAGAATTTTTCCATTATTGAAACTTTTCTTGGATTCTAAACCTTTCTTGGGCCAGCTGGCTCTTTGATAAATCTAATGAAAATTTTATGCCTACAGCTAGAAAAATGCACATATATAGAATTTAGCATGAAATTACAGAAGGTTAATAGACCCTCAGATTAAGAAATCTCCAAATTGTTTTTTTAATATTTTTAATTTTAATTTTTTCTTACCTATAACATGCTTGTTTCAAATGTGATGTTTAATGTTTTACAATGCTGTGTTATAACAATAAAAATTAAATAGTATTGTTAAAAATTTTAAAGTTTTGAAGGAGGAAAAGAGGGTATGTTGCTTTCACATAGGTTGGTAATGGCAAAACAATATATCTGATTGATATGTGTTTTAGGATTGTATATTCCAGAGCACATATGAGATTTTTGGGTAATCCTGAAGCCTCCTTTAATTATCGTGTGCTGTATTTTCCCAATGCTTATCTTAAATTAAATAATAATTTAATTTTAATTGCTGCCATTTGTTACTGCTTTATTTTGTTTTACATGGTAGGCCCTGTGCTAAGCATTGAAACTATAGTTGTGAAGAAAATAGATATTTCTTTTTAGTTTTGTCAGAAGAGATATTAAATAAGTGATAATATTTGTTAATATATGTTCTGATAGGGTAAGAAATGAGTATTTTTGGAATATATAGTAAGGAGACTATTGTGAGCACCTTTTATCTATGACTTGCTGTGGTATGTATTTGTTAAAAGTGCTGGCACTAAAGTCAGGCTGCACGAGTTCTCCCACTTAGTATTAGATGAGTGACCTTGGGTGAGTTACTTTACTTCTTTGTTTTTCAGTTTCTTTATTCGTAAAATGGGGGTAAAGGAGTTTCCTTATAGGAGTATTTTATTAAATACATTAATGCACTGAAACGACTTATAAAAGTGTTCTATAAATAGTCACTGCTCAGAAAAATAGCTATTATTATTAATATTATTATTATTTACACTCATTTTCTTTATTTGTCAGAACAACTTCAGAAAGTGATGATATCCTCTCTCATTCAGTCATATATTCATTTACGCATCTTAAGTCCTAGGTAAAGGAAAGCAAAGTGAAATTGAGTCTCAGGATTATTTAACTTGCCTAATTAAGGCATAAACTAGGAACTAGCAGAATTAGAATACAGTTTTTTTTTTGTGTTCTACAAGCTTCAGTCTTCATTTTTTAGAAATGAAGAATAATCCTGATCTCAGCTCTGTTGTGAGGCATAAAGAAGAGTGTATGCAAAGGCCCACATTTTGGTTTCTGAGACATTGTTAATGTCTCCCTCTCATCCTCTGTGGAAAGAAATATTCAATAAAAAGACCAGAAGAAAAAGCTATGGAAAATAGAAAGAAAACAAATATAACTGGATAATGCTAGATTGAATAAGCTGATATTTTAGGGGAAGAAACTTCATTTATAGTTTTAATATAGAAGTAATGCAGATAATACTTTGGGAAATTCTTGATAGTGAATTGGAAAGAGTCTTGAATTGGGAATTTAGGTGAGTCATTTGTAAAATCTGTTACCATTACTGCCAACCTACCAAATGTATTTATGAGAAGTATGAGACCACATGAAGGCTCATGATGATGGTGGTGATAAAGACAACAGAAATGGTATCTTCCATTTATTGAGTGTTAACTGCTGGGCTGGTGCTTGTTCTTTTTTACCTTAATTGTCTTGTTTTAATCCTTTAATCTTCTGAGGTAGATACTATTATTTCCCCTTTTATTAATTTTTAATGTAACATTTCATATTTACAAAGGGATTTATGTTGCATATTTGTTATAAAATAATGAGTACCTACCCTCTTGAGTAACTAGAGCATTAACAGTTGACCCCCTACCATATGTTTTTCCCTATTCCATCCCCTTGCTTCCTTCTAGGGTTAGCTGCTGTATTAAATTTTATTCCAATTGCTTTAAAAAAATTGGAATGAAGTACTGATACATGCTACAACATGGATGAATCTTGAAAACATTCTAAGTGAAAGAAGCCAGGCACAGAAGTATATTGTATGATTCCATTTATATCAACTGCAAAATAGTGAAATCTGTATAGACAGAAAGATAAGTGATTGTTTAGGGATTGGGGATGGGGGAGGGCAATGAGGGGACTGGAAGGGCAATAGCTAAGGCTACAGAGTTTCTTTTTAGAGGTGATGAAAAGCTCTAAAATTGATTGTGGTCATGGTTGCATAAGATTAGTACACTAAATGTCACTCTTGTATACTTTAAATTGGTTAATTTAATGATATGTGAATTTTACCTCAATAAAGAAAAGTTTTATCATGTGTGAATGTGTCCATCAATGATATATTTAGTTACATGTATTTTTGAACTTTGTAAAAATAGAATTTTCTATGTTTTTTTGAGGTTAGTTTTCATTTAAAATATGCATTTAATATTTTTCCATATTGTTGCGTGTAGTTGTAGATCACTGATTTTTACTTATGAATAATATTTTACTATTTAAATATGCCAAAACTTAATTATCTGATCTCTTGATGATGGTCATTTGGGATGCTTCCAAATGTCTTTTTGTACATATCTTTTGATGCGTATGCGTAAGCGTTTCTTTAGGGCATATGCTTAGGAGTTGGTATGTTAAATGGGAGGATATGCAAATCTTCACACTGTCAAATAATGCTAGAGTGCTTGTTAGGTAGACATAATGATTATCTCCGTTTTACAGATTAAATTGTAGCATTTATCTAATGTAAGTACGAGGACTGGAATTCATTTTCTAATTTTTAAAAGATAGTTGCTGTTATATTGAGTTTTTTAAAGAAAAACATTTTCAAAGCTTAATAATTTCTTATCTCACTGAATGATGATTTTCTAGAACATCTTCGAAATATGACTACTTTATGTTCTTATAGCATAATGGATAAGAGCATATACCTTAAAGTTGACGAAGTTTAAATTACAACTCTACCGTTTATAAACTGTCTAATATTAGACAGATTATATACCTTTACTGTGCCTCAGTTTTCACATCTTTTAAAGAGAGCCGTATAAAAGACCCAAAAGACTTAATGTAGCATGTACTAGCAAATAGTAAATTATTATCATAAAGAGAAGAAAGCATCTAGAAGGTTTCTTTCATTTCTAGTCCTATTATAATTTCTTTAATTCATATACATGTATATATCAGTAAACTAAATCATTTAATAATATACTATGTGAAATGAAATAATATGGTAAGTATGTGTATTTTTTAACATATTTGAAATTTATTTGCTAATAAAACTTTACTGTTTCCACACATGTGCATACTCTTTAGTTTTTACTTCTTAAAAAAATTAAATCCAAAAAAAGAAAAGAAAATTAAAGATTTAATTAATTAGAGGTTGCTAGGATATAGTTAGAAATAGTGCTACCAAAGAATGGACTAATGCATATTTATTTTATTGTTTCGAAGATTCCCATGGCCATAGCGTGTGGGACTGCTAACTTAAAATAACTGACCAAGTAGACTTGGCCTGATACTTACCTAGGAATTGCTTGTTAGGAATAAAACTACTCATTAGTTAAGTGTTTCATTTTCTAGTTCGATTTTTTACCAGTAATTGTTTCATTTTTATTCCCTTGAAAACAGACTTTATACTGTTATTGGTAATTTCTTCATTAATTATTATTTAGAGCAGTGCTAGTTCACTAGAATTTTTTGTGATGATGGGTATGTTTTATATTTTTACTATCTAGTTCTGTAGCCACTAGCCACATGTGGCTATGAACACTTGAAATGTGGCTAGTGCAAGCAAGAACCTGAGATTTTATGTTTATGTGCTAATTCATATATGTTTATTGCTGGTGGTTACCATATTTGAGAGTGCAGGTTTAGAGCACAGCAGTAAGCTTTTTAGTGTAAAATGAATATTAAATGAGTAACTAGTACTCCAAATATTTTTACTATGGTTTCTCGAGATTTTTATTTTATTGTTATTTAATATCTCATTACAGATAGCAAAATGTAGCACAGTTCATAAATTTTGTCTTAAATTTGTAGTCAAGCAAATTGAGGGCAAGCTACTTCATTTCTTTAGTTTCAACTTGATTGTTTATATGGAGATTGTTGTGCCTATTTCATATGTTTGTTGGAAGATTTAAATGATATAATAAATGAGAGGTTCTTTGCATAGGTTCTGGCATCATGTATTAAATGCTCTATTATCTTCACTAATAACAATTTGTATTAATCATAGTTGCCTTTTTCCTCTGATGTTCCTTTTTACTTAGAAGTGTTTTTTCTTTTTTTTTAGCAACTGATCTGGTACTGAGAAAGGTTATCAATTTTTCTGACTGTACAGTTTGTCTTGATAAACGGAATGCTAGTGGTAAAATCGAATTTTATCAGGATCCTTTATTGTACAAATGTTCCTTCAGAACTCGTCTGCATTTTACGTATGATAACCTAAATTCCAAGATGCCATCTGTTATTAAAGTAAGTGTTTTTTTTCTAGTAGTTGAATTGCATATCTGATTTAGTTCTTGTGCATGCTAATTTTTATTAATAAAGATGTTAACCTCATAGATATGCAATTTGTTTTTGTAAAAGTTTTACTTATATTTATAACTTCTGTTATTTACTATATTATAAGATATAATTTTTTGCATTATATGTTCTAGTAGAGACATTTTGGGGCCGACAGTAGTTTCATTTTTAGTTTGTCCAGCTGTTTATTAGTGTTTTTCTCTTCAAGTAGATGGAGGAGATCATATAAAAAAATGTATTTATGCCCACAGTAGACTGAATATGAATCTGCTAGTAAAGTTGGGGAATGTTAAGGTAGATCTGAGATACATTTTGAGAGCAAGTAATGGAAACATGGAAGCCTTCTAATATAAAATAATCTTATTTATCATTAGTACAAATTTAATAGTATATTCTAGGTTGTAGCTAAATTAGAGGAAAGTAAAAGTGAACCTGAGGAAAACTTTGTGTTGGCACATAAATTTGTGTTCTCAAAATTGATTAGCCATGACATTTCGTTTTAAAATATGCCCTAATATGAATAAGCTTGTCGACATGCTATTTTTGACTCTGGCAATCACTAAATATAAGACCATTATGCTCAACTGAAGTAAAATTTATTAATAGTGTGTATTGTGTAAGATTTGCCGTTTTGAGTTAGACTCATCATTCTTCCAATTCCTAGTCTTAGGAAATATGTATTAAGTGGACATGGTTAAACCTCATTGATCTCCTTAAAGGCAGGTGATTTGCAAAATGTTACAGTTACTATAATAAGTTTTTTCAACCTCTCACGTATGTTCATTTAAGTGGCTTCTGAGTTTATTTATATTTTGGGTTAGCTTTTTATAATTTTCTATCATTTGTGAGATATGGGTACATAATTTATTTCCCCTAGTTTTGAAAATTTACTTTTTTTTTTTTTTTTACAGTTTTTCAGTTTTTCTTTGACCACATATCTGATTACTTTGTTAGGAATGATTTCTGTAATTGAAAATACTTTATTAAGTGGTTTAAATTTTTTTAAGGGCTGTGATCTGTGTTTCTGGGAAGGTTTAACCAGTGTCAATGCTTGTGAACATTTAGGGGAATGCCTGTATTACACTTTTGCTATCTATAAATATGATCATGTTTTAAAAATTGCCAACTTGTTGAGCAAAAATTTATATATTTTAATTAACATTTGATTATTAGTTGTTAGATTTTTGAAAATATGTACACTGATCATTTGTTCTTTGAAAAAGCTATTCAGATTTTTTTGTCCATTTTTCTATTGGGGATTAATCTTATTGATTTTAGCATATATATCATATATAAAATATATTTTAAAGATGTGTGTATATTGTGTGTGTGTGTGTGTGTGTGTATGTATAAATATATAAATAAATAGAAGATTGATTCTTTGTCTATCATTGGTTTTTTTTTTTTTACTGGGGCCATACAGTGTTTAAAAGGATGTGGTAGAGAAATCTCAAACGAAGAAGAGCTTGACAGGCCTGCACTGCATGCTTCTTCCTTCTCTTACCCACTCCTCACCTTTCTTTTACCTCTCTGTGGTCTATTTAGTGTATGATTTTTAGGTCAGTTTTAAGAAACCTGTATTCTTATTTGAATATGGCATTTTACACCCCTTCTTCCAATACTGCTTTCTTTCCTTTCAAGTACAATTTTTTATTTTGCCTTTAGCCCCAAAAAAGATGATGATTACCATTACTTCTTTTTCATGTTTCATAGACACGCAAATAAATACCAGTTAGTCAAAATAAACCTTCCGAGAGACTTGACTTTATGGCTTAATTGGTTTTACTCCATGTTTATAAA